AGATGTACTTGAAGTTGCCCATAAAATCGTTATTGCTATTGTAGTATACTCACACAAGACTCGTGGGATCTATCCCAACGACCCTTCTGAAATTATATGATCTTTATACACCTTAAGCTTTCGTTTGAAGTTCTGTGAATGTTGTTGACGGTACTGATAAACATAAGACTGTATTTTCTATACATATACGTTTAGGTTAAAGGATTATGATGCAGTTAACAAGTTGATAAGTTTGATAACTAAGTAACTATAAACTAAATGATTTGGAGTACAATATTTAAAAGTATATATATAGTACGAATAATGTTATAACATAATAATTGACATGTTTTACTTTTTCAACCGAGACCCGAAATAGACAATAAGTTTATATAAATATACTGGCAGCTCGTAAGTGTAAAGCTGAAGCTGAAGGTTTTAAAGAGGAAGCCATATTCGCGCTACTGAATCTTATTGGAACCAATTTCTTTATCGCGCGTTACACGCTCTGAGCGGGTGGCGAGACTGAAAAATGTGTAACAAGACTTTATTTCGACACCATAGCAAACGTCTATCAAAAAGCAAAAGGAAGTTTGTTTCGACCGAAGGTCCGTAGACCCCTCTCGTGGTTTTTTTATTGTGTAGGGTGTAAAGGAACAGACGGGTCTCCTGATGGTAACTAACTAACGCCACCCATGGACACCTGCTTGTAACTCAAAGAGACACGAGTAAGTTGCCGAAGTTTGAGCCCTTCCCCCCCTCCCCGCACCCCTATTCAGAGCGGAGCGGGTGGGACTTCCGGTCCTCACTCACTCGGTGAAAAGCAAACAAAGAATTACTGAAACCGACGTAACTCTCTCTAAACAATACATAAGTGACGGATACTGATCATATGATTTATAAATCATGTCATCACACCTGTTAACAAACACTGATTAACAAACCCACTGCGACTTAATTATTATGATAACGCTAGCGCAAGTCACGCGTAATCTACAATAAAAATAATTTTGATTGACTTTTATGTCATTTATCTTTGTCTATGACTAAATCACAATCACATGTGAAATCGCTGTGACTAAAAGCAATCATTCGAACATATGAATATGATTTAAAAGTAGCAAAATTGACATGTCTACTGGTTAGGCATTCGTATTCACGTTAGCCACCTTAATAGTGTAAAAAAAAAGTATTTTAAAGTGTAAATAAAATCATTTACGTATACAACACACTGGTGTAATAGCCGCTTAGCTATGCGACTCAGTACACGAATGGTAATCGAACCTGACACTGTGACCCACATTGTATTGTAACGAACGTTACGCAACACTGCTGTAATAAACCGACTCGCTTGCTTTTGTTTAAAGAAATATGAGTTTTCAATTCAATTCAAATTGTTTATTTTGGACTATTACATCCATATAGTGTTACAGTGAAATTAGTCTCGAGAATTTTTTACATATGTAGTGGTGTGTATATTACTCAGATCTTAGAGCGCGTTTCCACTATATCGTTCTGGCCTATACAAAAATGTTTCGATATCCTAACATTACTATTTAATTTTATACTTATCCCTAGCAACACTCTGATTTTTGTTTTCAATAAAAACAAGTTTTTATTTTAAAGAAAAAGGTTTTGACTTTATAAAAAAAAAGGTGTGTGTGCGATTCACACACGATAGAAGTGAAACTTCAAAGAGGAGAGACCGATATTTAAATTTTTTTTTTGTTTTTCCTTTCATCTAGGTTTTTAAAACTCCGGGGGGTCTACGGGGGGGTCAAAATTTTTGTTATTTTTGGCCTAGGACGCACCGTTTCCGAGATATTTCAATCTAAAGCAAAAAGTCGTCACTTGATAGTGGAAAGTGGGAACACGCACAAAACCAGAATAAACCAGTTTACGCTGTCCGTACCATACACTACTACAAACGCAAAAATTTCTCCAAGCTAATTTACCTGTAGTAGCAATGTGTTTTAAAAACTAGTGTTAGTATTGAATAATATTATTTTATTGTATGTCAACATTATGTTATGTTAATATTATATTTATTTGTTTATATTTTTTTTTCTTACGTGAATGGAAATCCACCTCTGAATAAGGGAAGAGTCCCATCTATCTGAACAAAACATTCAGGATGCGTTTGGAGGAGGAGCGCAAACGCACCAGCATGGAGGCGCAACGTTGCCGCATTATAGCGGTGAAACCGTCGACCTGTGCCTCTGCTGTATTAAAACAATACAGTAGATTTTTATTAGAGACACCAGACTGAAGACCTCCCAATGCCAGAGCCGAGTATTTTTTCAGATGGTAAGTAAGCAACGGTTAGAGTTAATTAATGTTAAAAAGAAAAGCACTCCTAATTAATAGTATAGTATTTGATTATTTTCGAATACCACTTATCCGAGTAGTTCCAGGGATTAGCGCATTTAAACAAACAAACAAGAAAACTCCTTTAACTTCAATATCATCATCATCAACAGCCTTTAATAGTCCACAGCTGGACATAAGCCTCTTCTTAGAAAGGAGGTTTTGGCCTACTATACCACGCTGACCAGACGGGTTGGTATAGGGTTTGTGTCAAATTTTCCTCTTCTCTGCAGTGCTTTAACATATTTAATCTATTAATACATATAATTACATTTATTATCAACATATAATTTTTAAATACATACATATTATAGATAAATTACACCCCAACACAGAACAAATGATCGTGCTCATCACCCAATTATTTGTCTTGGGTGGGATTCGAACCCTCGACCTCTTGCTTAGCAGTCAGGGTCACTAACCACTAGACCAACAAGCCCGTCAATTGTTTTATGTTTCATATTAAACTGACTTCCTTAGTCATGGACATAATCGGATGGATGGGATTATATTAACTTGATGCGGTAAAGACTATGTTTATTAAAAAACCTAGATAATAACTTATGAGGTAAAATAACGTGTTTACTTTGAAACAATACATTGTTTATATCAAAGATAAGGAAGCATAGATACACATTTAGAAAAACGTCAAAAATACTACAGATAAACATACTATGTGGAATCTGGGTATGCGATAAACGAGATGATACCACCCCAAAATGTACTCGGCGTACTGTACTTCGTTGCCTGTGATATTACAATATTGTTTAACCAATTGGAAAACTGGTTTACTCATGGTTAAAGACGAATTTATGAAATTAATCTGTGATATTCATAAATATGACAGATACATCTCATAAATGCTAGGTTGTGACTTATTCAATCGATTTCAATGTAAGTTTGCTTGTTACGTATCTACATCTAAAGTACTTAACGGGTAATTATGAAATTCAACAAGTAAGAAGCACAAAAAAGGATATGGAGCATCTGTCAATTGCTAGCTGTTAATGAGGTTTAAAACTAATAATTTTAAAGATAGACGAATATATATCGAGGTTTAATCGTTCAGATTACGAAAGAACGAAGTTATAATTAAAGAACGTGGAATGACGAAATGACATGTCTAAAGAATGTTTATAATAGCGAAAAAGACAGTCTTATCTTTTTGTTTAATTAAATTATCAATGACACAATCACGACATCTTTTATTTCTATATTATCATAGAAATCACATAATTATTTGCTTCATGCTGCTCATAATTGATTGCTTGCTTCAATGAATCTACCAATATGTCGGGATTGAATATTATTCGTAACAATGTACTTATTTTAAAACAAATATCAGAATATCGAAGCGTAGATAATTATTTCTTGAAAATAATACTAATTAGACATAGACTTGTTACACTACAGTAATTTCGCGTTACGGCTAATACAGCGACGGAACAGCTGATTTATTTATTATAGACACGCCAACAGTACACACAAAACTTTAAAAATAACCGTATTATGTCTACGATCTTTCCTCTCGTATTCCGGCAATATGTGGGCGTGAAAAGAAAAGGGACGGAAATGTGTAACAGGAAGTCAGTAAGTCAGAGCATTGCACTATATTTGATTTGACTAATAAGCACGTGGTGTTAGAAGTCCAACGTTAGGCCTCAATGCGGGAAGATTGGTAAGCAAGGGATACCACAAGGGTCAGAGTGGAAACGGGATTGAGACTGCACCATTCAGACGCTTACTCATATTCCTGTTTCTCCTGTAAGTGTTGCAATTCGAAGAGCCAACAGAATAAAGAAATTAACTAGACAGCAAGAGCAATCTTACAAAAACAAATTCAATAATATATAACAAAAAAATTATTGACATATTTTTGATAAATTTGACCACACGAATCAATGTCTAGTCCAATGCATTTACGAAAATAATATTCCCCTGACCTGTAACAACAAAGTGTTAAACCGAATCTTATTTTAGAACCATAGATTGTTGCACATTTTTTTATACATTACAACTTGATTCAAACAAAAAACAGTGATTGTGCAAACCTGATAATATCCTTGACACGCCTAGATAGTTAGAGACGAAATTTCAGATGATGTAAGCTCTGCCCACTCCGAGATTCATATCATCCGTTACTGGAGTCTGAGTAAAACCAACTTTTGTAAGACTAATTGTGCCAAAAGTACTGCGACGGGAAGAATTCGATTTCATTTGGACAAAGAAAGGTGATCTAATTCTTATTGGATTGGAAATCTGTTTAAATTTTTGAGAAAGGCTTCAATTAGATTTAGTATTATTTGTTATTATGTCCTGATTTTCTAAATGGTACATTTCTGAAATGTACGGCAGATGCGATCACTTGATTTATGCCTTTCTGCAATTCATCATGTAGCGTTCAGTAATGGCGGTGCCGCATTTACAGTGAACGATTCTCACAACGTTTTCGAGGTAATCAATACGGTGGCTGTCAATTTAAATTGGTTTCTTTGTATGTGTAACATCGTTTGGCTTTTTGCATTTTGTTTTAATATTTGATTTAACAATCAAATGTAATAATAACTGTTAATTTTCTTTTTTCCTATATAACTACTTTGTTTTCATAAATCTATACATTAAGAACATACATTGTATGCATATTTTCCACTTACCAGGATAGAAGTCATGGGACTTGGACATCTTGACCCTGGCGCCAGTGTCCTTCTGCAGTTGGGCGATGGTCTCGCCACCCTTGCCGATGATGGCGCCGGCGACCATGGACGGCACCAGCACCTTGAAGTGGTATGTCGGCTCCACGGCTGCAGAGTAGACCATTAATAAGCACGAGTCAAGGTAAAACATAGACCGAGTATTGTGTTTCAAATGTTAAATAATAAAAATAAAAGGTCCATTAAATAAGGGAATAATTACAGAATAATCTGAAATTGTTCGAATGATGTAATTTAATAAGGACGAAAGGAAACACGGTAAAGTTTTTATACGGCGAGCTTGTTATCTGGCAATTATGTACATTCCTATCAAGTATAAAATATTTATATATAAAGAATCATATTACAATTATTCAACTAACTACGTAATATTACGTATTTATTTTAAAATGAAAACCTCTGTGAGTTGTTTTCATGTTTATTTCAAAGACACGGTTTTATACACAGGAGTAGTGTGTTGCCTGCCACTAAAGGCAAGCTACTTCATCCCATGATAAAGAAAAAGTTAAAACTCGTTCGGTCATCGCCGAAATACAAAAGAAAAACCGAATTACTTTAACGCAATACATTTCAATCAACGTTTACAAATTACTCGTTTCATTTCATTAGGTAAATCGTCATTGAAATTCTGTAAGCTCCTTATAAAGGTTTCCGAGTCAAACTTAAACCGGGATGTATTTGGTCGCGGTAATAAATCAATGCGGGAGCAAATTCCTTTGAAGATTACGCAATAACCAACCAGGATTATGTAAATCCCAAAATGTTATGTATATTTCATTACAGGTTAATATAAATTTACTCGGGATAAAAGGTTTATAAATTATATAAGACTAGACTTATAAAATACAAGTGTAATTACAAGAAACACAGTACTCAGTGGGTGAGATTACATTAAAATGAGATTTTATATGTTGAATTTTGCTGTTAATAAAATATCACATTGTAAAGTAATGTGAAACATGAAAGCTCAATTTAAAACGTAATAAAATATACAAATGCGGAGTCTGATGATCGAATTCTGGTGTCAGTTTTCGAAGACCAGTTCCGTCGGATCAATAAGTATGAATCAGTGTGATATGTGCATATATATGTATTGTAAACCACACCAGAAGAATTTGTGCTAATGTCAGTCGCAATGGCGGTGTATGAATACTGAATATAGCCAACATTAAAAATAAATTATTGTATTATACAGTACCAACATTAGCCGTTTGGTGAGGTATTAATTTCGAAATTTTGGCACAGTGTTCAATATATATTATGAAGTGCCAGTGTTAATAGTTTGCTTTTAATGTATTGTTTAAATTTAGAGGCAAATAATATTTATTTTATAGTTATTGACATGCATTTTGATTTGTTGATTAATGCTAGAGCTAAAATACAGGTGAAGAAGACGACGAAGTAGAAAATACTAGTGATGATGATGTAAATATAATGAACCCTACGAAGCCAACACAGAATCAACTTTCAATTAGAATTGTATGAAATCGAGCCAAGTTAAACACGGAAAACATTTTTGTCTATCTTAGAGGAGTCCAGAGCTCAAGCTGGAAGTTTGAATCTGTCACAAAGGGATAAACACGTAAGCACCTACTATAAAACAGAAGGTAAGAAACGCAAAGAAGAAACAAATTTAAAGTGTTTATGCTTTGCTTTGTACATTTGAACTTGAAACTTTGTTTTGTAGGTACATTTGTTTTAGAGGATTCTTAAAGAATAGTCATAGATAAAGATTGCTTTTTTTTCAAGTTACAAAAGAACCAAACAAAAATGATTTAAGGCCTAACTGTAGATGTTATTAATTGGTAGTTACGGGAACAGTACAGTTTAAATAAACTGGTATGACGCCTACATTGAATATTATTTCAATTGAGAAGCATCCCACCGCCGGCGTCTGATGGCGCGTCTCATTTGACCTCATTTCAAATGGAGCATCGCACTGTTCACCTGTCACAAAGCTAGGCGTTATTGTAAGATACAAGCGACAATACACTAGCTTATATTTTTTCTGTTAGTTGTTACTTATTAGTATTACAAAACGTAATAAACTGTTTGTTTTCAAATCCAGGTAAACTGAAAGAACAAAAAAACGTAATGCGACAAAGTTTGTGTTTCGTAAGTAAATAATGGCTGATGGCTGGAAGGAGCTGGATGCGAGAAGCCCAAAATCGTACTAGTGGCGTGCAATGGGAGAGGCCTATGTCCAGCAGTGGACTGCGATAGGCTGATGATAAAGTAAATAATGTTTACTCTTTTTCTATTTTTACTTTGTTTATTATATAATACCTGTTCATTATATATTTGAAATATTAATAACACGAATAAATTAAGTTTTATTTGTACCTAATTGAATTTGTGTAAAAATGTTATTTCGGATAATATCGTTCTCAATCTTGGAAATCATCTCAAAACAATGTTTAGTAGTAAAAACAGATGCTTAAGTAACTAAGCAACATAGTCTTTTCTATCCTGAATTGATATCAAAATATCAATTAAGGATCAAATTTCAAAAATACTATTATAAGAAGTAATTTTCTAAAATAACAAAAAGGCAGAAATCTCCTGAGAATACTATGGAACAAAATATTAAATAGAAAGATAATACAACTGTTGAGCCAAAATTATTTTAAGCATATGGAAATTTTCCCTAGAAAATAATTCCAAAGGTATGAACAATGAAACTTAAGAAATTAAGAATACAGTTTATTGGATCTATATGTAGGCGCATGAAGTTATCCTTTTTAAGATGATTTTTGACACTTCTCCTTTCCCTTCTAGTGGGGCGGAACATTAAAACCTAATAAACTACCACGTATTTATTTGTACATATATTTATCTGTATGTATGAAGGTACATACGTATGTATTTAATCATCATCATCATCAACAGCCTTTAATAGTCCACTGCTGGACATAAGCCTCTCCTTGGAAAGGAGGTTTAATATATTTAATGTAATAACTTATATGTATAACTAATGTTTATAAAATTGTACTTATATACCTGCCTTTTCAACACTGAATCGCTACTGGTTTGAATTAACCTATAACCTTTAGTTCATACCGTTTCTTAAATCGATTTTTGACGCATACTCCTTATAATCATATTGTTGCCAATAGTGTGAAGAGAAAAACGTTTATTATTGATAGAAACATTGCTTGCGACGTCAGGTAGTGGAAGAGTACGGTGTATTATTAATAATGTACTTAAAATTCTTTGCGTGTTCGCTATACGCGTAACTATGTGATATAAATTCTACAACATGCACTATTCAATTATTCTCAATTTCTTCAGTTTATTACATGTATACATACATATCCACGACCATTTCACCAAAAGGGGTACCTATCTGCGCATTTTGGTTAGTATTTACAAATATTTTTCAATTAAACTTTTAGTTATATTTAATAATAGGGAATAGGTCTATTGCTAAGTAAACTTTAGGGATTAGATGAGAAAAATGAAAGTATATTAAAAGGACAAGCAACTACGCAGGACAACAGCACTGCAAAGAGAAGGAAAACTTGAAACAAACCCTATCCAACCAACCCGTCTGGCCAGCGCGGTATAGTAGGCCAAAACCTCCTTTCTAAGGAGAGACCTATGTCCAGCATTGGACTGTTATAGGCTGTTGATGTGATTAATATAATGAATAGATGGATAGGGGAATGTTAGCAATGGCTCGAACAATTCAGGTTTCATACTTTTATCTAGAATTTACTACTGTCGGAAAAACTGAGACCTTTTATCGAAATTCAGCTTATTCCTATTTTGTAATAAAATTTTATATATTTTGTTTTCTTAAAAGAAAAGGAGAATGTTCAGAGTCTTTCTTCAACTTGCAGGCAACGTATTATTAAATATTTCGGACATGTTGCTCTCCGAAACGATGACAAACTGGAGTGTTTGATAGTGACCGGAGGGGTAGAAGGGAAGAGACCCACAGGCAGAAGACCCAGACGATGGTCATACCAGATCGCTTAACAGCTAGAAATGCCAATAAGTGTCGCACTCCACCAAGCGACTGATCGCAGCCGATGGAAACAGATGGTTGACAGGATGAAAGGGAGTCACGATACTCAGCAGTGAGGGATCGAAAGAAAGAAAAGAAACGGATTGGTATTTTTTTCCTTCTGTTACGAATAATTTAAAATTCAAATTCTTGCAATTAACATAACAGAATTGAAATGAACAATGGAATTTATTCTAGCCAAGCTCGTCGTGAATAATGTCAACATTGTTAACCTTTTTAATTTTATTTAACAAAAGATATCTTTTTAATCCACCGTTTGGCAGCTCCTAATCTAGGCTCAGATGGCCTATCAATAAGGCTTATACTGACAATTTGATATTAATTTCGTTCGGCGATACCAATAAAGTGGGCTTAGTACCCTCATTTTATACTCACAGTTGCCCGCTTTTTGTTAAGGAACATTCGACAAAGGAAGTTTTGTTTAAGAATAATACCGTTACAAAATCCTCGAGACTCAGGTTGCGTTTAATAAAAAGGCACTTTTCTTTATTTAATAGCGCGTTCTTTCTTTTGTTAGGGGCTGTAAACTCAGTTCCCCGGCTATTAGTACCCGGCGAAGGCGTGCGGTTTTAGTCGGTTCGAGTCCGACATGCCACCGAGAGGTGGTATCCGAGGGGATTTCCGCACGGGGAAAAAAAAAAAAAAAAAAAAAAAAGGGGCTGTAAACTCTCGTTTTTCTGGCATCAATTAATTTCTAATGGTATCTTTGTTGGAAAGTCGAGCCGTCTAGTGTCGAGTGCCATCGAATTAATTATAGCGAAGCTTTTGCCGCACTACTGCCGCACCTATAACAGGTCACGACCTAGAACATGTTGTAGGTGCCTTACCGCATAAAACTGCCAAGCCGTGTTTGGCAATATAAAGCTTTCAGACGTGTGGCTGTACATCACAAAGGATAATAGTTACTATTAAATCGCTGATCTCTTATAAATGACGCTCAATAATTATGAAGCATTGTGTCCTTGTTGAGTCTGAGCAATGTTCATTCATTTGTTGTCAAGCGCTAACTTGAAATGAGCATTTGTTACAATTGAGTGACCACGAGAAAACGGGCTCAGAG